TTTAAGAGAGAGCCACATCCCCAGTCCCAGTTTTTATTTTTGAGACAGGATTTCACAAAAGTTGCTCAGGCTGGCTTTGAACTTGTGATTCTTTCTGCTTTAACCTAACAAGCTACTGCACCCAGCTTTTTAAGTTTAACTTTCTAAGAAATAGCTAAACTATTTTCCAAGGTGTTTGTGCCGTTTTTCATTAATAGTATATGCTCTATTTGTTAGAGATTTTAATTTATGTGAAACTTCTCAAGCAGAATCAAATCTCTTCTTGGAGAAGAGGTGAGTAGGTGGGATAGATGAGATCTTATATGAATAGTACCAAAGCATTACCACACCATGGAAAACACACTCTTAAAAATGTTAAACTATGTGCAAGTCTTCAGGATGGCACGAAACAAAGGTTAATGCTTCTTGGAGGGCTTGTCCAAGTGTGTAAATAATTGACTTTATTTGTGTTACATGACTAGTGACTTCATTGAAATCTTCACAATTCAGTTTTAGCTCTGGATTACTTCAGTTGACCTTTGTGAAGGTTCTATCTGCATGGAGTAGGTGTTTGATTTGACTTGTTTTAACCTGTTGGGGTTTTTGGTTTTTTTTCCACTATTTACAGTAAAATTTACTAAGAAGTAACGTGTGTTCATGCTAAGGGGATTAGTGTTGGTTTGGCTTCTTTTAGTCAGGCTTTCTGAACATTGAGATATGCTGAATCTGGAGCTTTTAATTCTAAAATCCTCTCATTGGCCCCCCCTCCCCCTCAAAAAAATAGTATATGCTCTTTATGTGTGCCAGCATTTGGTATGGTCAATCTATTTAATTAATGTAATAGGGATTGTAATTTTAGTCTGCATTTCCCTAATGATGTTGAACATATTTTTATGTGCTTATTTGACAATGGTATACCTTTTTTTTTTCTTTCTTTGGTTGGGCTAGAGATCGAACCTAGGGCCTTGTGCATTTGAGGCAAACACTCTACCAACTGAGATATATCCCCAGCCACACAATGGTATATCTTTGATAAAATATATGTTTAAATCTCTTGGACATTTTTTCAGTTGGGTTGTTTTTTTATTATTTTTGAGATTTCTAATTGTGTCCGAAATACCTGACAAGAACAGTTTAGAAACTGGACGTGGTGGCAGAGGTTTATAATCTCAGCAACTCTTAATCCCAGTGACTTGGAGGCTGAGGCAGAAGGATCACAAGTTCAAAGCCAGCCCTAGCACCTAAGACCTTGTCTCAGAAACATAAAAAGGACTGGGGCTGTCGCTCAGTGCTAAAGTGTCCCTTAGTTAAATCCCTGGTACCCAAAACAAAACAAAACACAGCTTAAATGAGGAAAAGTTTAGTTTGGCTCATGGTTCCAGAGATCCTCCATTGTTGTGGGCCTGAGGTGAGGCAGAACATCATGGAAGAAGAGCATGCTGCTCTGGAAGCTGGGGTGGGGGGTGGCTCAGGGAAGATAGTGATTTTTAGGGCACTCCTGCAGTGACCTATCTTCTGTAGTCACATCTTATCTGACTACAGCTAGCACCTTGCACAAAAATCCTTCAAATTATCACTCCTTCAACTGGATTAATTCACTGAATAGATTATAGCTCTCATAATCTAATCATTGCACCTTTGAATATTCCTGCATTAACATAGAAGCTTTGGGGGATTCCTCTTAGCTAAACCATAATACTTGGATATTCTGGGTATTATATTTTTAACAGATGATTTGCAAATTTTTTTCCTAGCCTTTGACTTGGCTAGTCTCTAAATAATGATCTTTGAAGAATAGAAATCTCTAATTTTTAAAAAAAATATTTGTATTAGTTATTGGTGGACCTTTATTTATTTGTTTATTTATTTATATGTGGTGCTGAGAATTGAACCCAATGCCTCACACGTGCTAGGCAAGTGCTCTACCACTGAGCCGCAATCCCATCCCCAAATTTCTAATTTTGATGAACTTTAACTTATTTACTTTTTTATTTTGTTCTTTTTAGGTATACATGACACTAGAGTACCTTTTGACATATTATACATACATGGAGTATAATTTCCTGTTCTTGTGGTTGTACATGATGTGGAGTTACACTAGTTGTGTATTCACGTATGAATATACGAAAGTTATGTTCGATTCATTCTACCGTCTTTCCTATTTCCATCCCCCTCCCTTCCCTTCATTCCCCTTTGTCTAATTCAGAAGGTCTATTCTTCCCACTCCACCCCCTCCTTATTGTAAGCCAACATTTGTATATAAGAGAGAACATTTGACCTTTGGTTTTTTGGATTTGGCATATTTCATTTAGTATGATAGTTTCTAGTTCCATCCATTTACTGGTAAATGCCATAATTTCATTCTTCTTTATGGCTGAATAATATTCCGTGTGTGTGTATATACATATACATATATACGTGTATACACACAAATACACACACACACATTTTCTTCATCCATTCATTTGTTGAAGGGCACATAGGTTGGTTCCATAGCTTAGCTATTGTTAATTGAGCTGCTATAAACATTGATGTGGTTGCGCCACTGCAGTATGCTGATTTTTAAGTCCTTTGGGTATATATCGAAGAGTGACATAACAGGGTCAAATGGTGGTTCCATTCCAAGTTTTTGAGGAATTTCCATACTGCTTTCTAGGGTGGTTGCACCAATTTGCAGTCCCAGTAGCAATGTATGAGTGAACCTTTCCCCCATATCCTTGCCAACATTTATTGTTATTTGTATTCTTGATAATTGCCATTCGGTGTAGTTTTAATTTGCATTTCTCTAATTACTAGAGATGTTGAACATTTTTTCATGTAGTTGTATTTATTCTTCTGTGAAGGGCCTATTCAATTCCTTTGCCCATTAATTGATTGGGTTATTTGTTTTTTTTTTTGGTGGTAAGTTTTTTGAGTTCTTTGTATATCCTGGAGATTAATTTGTGAGGTGCAGGTGGCAATGATTTTCTCCTATTCTTCATTTCAACTTACTAAAAAGGGTGTTTTTTAAAAAAATTCATTTTATTATTATTTTTTAAATTGACAGATTAAATTTTATGTATTTATTGAATCCCAAAAAACGAAATGCTGAATGTTTTCTTTGATATAAGGAAGCTGATTCATAGTGGGATAGGGAGTGGGAGAATGGGAGGAATAGACTAACTCTAGATGGGGCAGAGGGGAGGGAGAGGAAGGGAAGGGGCATGTGATGGTGGAATGTGATGATCATTATTATCCAAAATACAGGTATGAAGACATGAATTGATGTGAATGTAGTAGGTATATAACCAGAGATATGTAAAATTGTGTTCTATGTGTGTAATAAGAATTATAATGCATTCCACTATTATATATAAATATAAAAAGAATCAAACTGTAGTAGTATGTTTTGATTTCTTGCTTTAAAAAAACCAGTTTTTTTTGAATTTTACAAATACTTGCATATATTTATGAGATACAATGTATTGTTTCTACATATGTAAATATATCGTAGTTTATTCAAATGAGGGTAATTATATTCATAACTTCAAGCATCCATAAATTCCTTGTGGTGAGAGTACCCAACCTTTAGCTATTTTGAAATTCACAATACATTAAGTATAATCTCTTTGTCACCCAACAAACAGGAGAACCTATTCCTGTTATCCAACGTAGTTTTGTCCCTTGCCTACCTACCTCACTCACAACTTTTCTGGTAGCCATATTTTCTGGTAGTCATATTCCATAACTTCTTTTTTTTAATATTTATTTTTTAGTTTTAGGTGGACACAATATCTTTATTTTATTTTTATGTGGTGCTGAGGACCGAATCAAGTGCCTCATGTATGCCAGGCAAGCACACTACCACTTGAGCCATATCCGCAGCCCCCATAACTTCTTTTTTAAATTCTACATATAAGCAAGATCCCATGGCCCTTGTTTCTCTGTGCTTGGCTTATTTTACTCAGGATAGTATCTTCCAATTCATCCATATTGTTGAAAATGATGGAATTTTCTGACTAAAATACATTTTAAAACAACTTATAGCTAAGGAAAAATATTTATAAAAATAAGTCTATGATAAAATGCAGTATACCAAAATAAGTGAGACATAATTAAATCATTATATATTGACAGTTTTATAGGTTTCAGTATTTACATAGTTCAATGCTAGAGTCCTTGCCTAGCGTGCCTCTTAAGAATGTGGATTTGATCCCTGGCACCATGATTAAAAAACAAAACAAAACTTATAAACTTCTATTTTTATATAGAATTCAGGGCCTGGGGATATATATAGGTCATTAGTATAGTGCTTACGTGACATGTGTTTGTTTGAGAATGTTGCCTGGTACAATATTCTTGGCTGGCAGTTTTTCTCTTCAGCACATTGAATATACAATCCCACTGTCTTGGTCTGTAAAATTTCTGCTGAGAATCTGTTGCTCAGTGTACCAGAAAGTCTATTATATGTTATTTGTTTTTTTTTTTTTTTTGCTGCCTTCGGAGTCTTCCCTTTTCTTTGATCTTTGACAGTTTGATTATAATATGTCTTGGGATAGTTTTATTTGCATTGAATCTGAAGAAAATATTTGACCCCCCCCATACCTGGATATTTATATATTTCTCCATATTTGGAAAGTTTTCTGCTATTATTTTTTAAAATATGCTTTCTGCTCCTTTGTCTTTTTCTTACTTATCTTACTCTCTTGAATGTCAATGACTTTGTACATTTACTCTTTCAGTGCTGTCCAATGAGTCTTGTAAGCATTTTTTATTTTTTTCATTACTTTTCTTTTTTCTCCTTTTAGTGTATATTTTCAAATAACCTATCTTCAAATTCACAGATTTTTTTTCTTCTCGATGAGTTCTGTTTTGATGCTATTCCTTTTTTTTTGTTTTTGTTTTCTTTTTTTTTGGTGGTACTGGGGATTGAACCCAGGGCCTTATGTGTGCAAGACAAGCACTTTACCAACTGAGCTATATCCCCAGCCTGCATTTTTTCATTTGTTCATTGCATTTTCCAGCTCTAGAATGTGTGACTTTTTTTTCAATGATTTGTAAAAACAATATTTTTAAGTTTTTGTTGGATCTTTATTTTATTTATTTGTATATGGTGTTGAGAATCGAACCCAGTGCCTCTCGCATGCTAGGGAAGTACTCGTCTACTGAGCTACAACCCCAGCCCCAATGTGTGACTTTTAAAAAATTAATTTAATCTGTTCAGTTTCTTTTTCTGGTCACTTACTGTTCTCTTTATTTTTTATTTAAAAATTTTTTTTTGTTATAGCTGGACACAATACCTTTATTTCACTTATTCAATTTTATGTGATGCTGAGGATCTAACCCAGGATCTCGCACGTGCTAGGCGAGTGCTCTACCACTGAGCCATTATTAGTTCCCTTAAAACCACTCTTTTGATGTTTTGTCAGGCAGTTTGCGCATCTCTGGCACTTTATTTTGTCCATTTGCTGGTGTCATGTTTCTCTAATTATTCTTGATCCTTGTGGTTGTACATTGATGTGTGTATATTGAAAAGGTACTTTTGGAAATCCCAACAGACTGGCTATTCATGGCACCATCTTTCAACTGTAAACTTGTCCAAAGATTCTGGGTTGGCAGTGTGGGGTGTTTCCTATGCCCATGGCTGCTGCAGTTATTGCAGTGCCAGCAGATATCTTAAGCTGCAGACTGTAGCTCAGTGTTGGCCTGGAATACCATGCATGTAGGCTGGGGCAGTACACACAAAGCCCATGGCTGCTGAGGTTCTCACAACAATGGACCATGTTTAAAACCGCAGCCACTGGGACCTTCTTTTCACTGTGGATTACTTAGGGAGTCAGGCTTCCATAATTCACTGACAGTGTCATGTGCTAGATCTTGAGTCTGTTTCACGGTGGCTATAAATTCCCATCTGGTTTTGAGGTAGGTGCATAGGCTAAGTCCATATGAACTAGCCTGAACTGTGGCACGCCTGGTATTGGGGACAAAAACAAAATCCTAGGTTCACTTTGCTGTCCTTCCTCCAAGTGGATGGCATCTCTCTTCATGCTGTGCTGCCCGGGTTTGAGGGAGACGTGATATGGGTGATATAAAACCTTCCTTAGTACCTTTCTAGTATATATTTTCTTACTAACTAGGTACTGTGATCTCTAACCTGGGTTCCTAATCTTTTATGAAGGTGTGTTTATGTTTGAATAGTTCAAATTGATGTTTCTGTTGGAAATGGAAATAGCTCTATTTTGATCCTTCCTTCACAAACAAAAAAAAAATTTGTTTCTTTGTAGTTGTAGTTGGACACAATAACTTTATGTTATTTATTTATATGTGGTGCTGACGATCAAACCCAGGGCCTTGCACGTGCAAGGTGAGCGCTCTACCTCTGAGCCATAACCCTAGCCCCCTTAAAATTTTTTTTTTTTTTTTAAAGATAGAGTGAGAGAGGAGAGAGAGAGAGAGAGAATTTCCAATATTTATTTTTTAGTTCTCGGCGGACACAACATCTTTGTTGGCATGTGGTGCTGAGGATCGAACCCGGGTCGCACGCATGCCAGGCGAGCGCGCTACCGCTTGAGCCACATCCCCAGCCCCCCCTAAAATTTTTTAATGAATTATTTTTTTGGTGTTGTATCTTAGAAATCTTTGTATAATCCAGTGACAGTTACTGATTTATTTGGTCCTGAGAATTGAACCCAAGGGTCCTCTACCACTGAGCCAAATCCCCAGCCTTTTTATTTTTTATTTTGAGACAGGATCTCACTAAATTGCTTAACGCCTTGCTGAGTTGCTGAGATTGGCCTTGAACTTGTAATCCTGCCCCAGATGTGTGGTCACTGCACTTGGCAATCACAATTATTTAAACTAAAGTCTATTTAGAATGTTTATTTGCAATTTCATGGTATTAACACAAAGCATTTATTTTTGTATACCTCCAGACAGATTTTGAAGTTGAAAACACATAACTAGGTCCTCTTCAGAATGTTAACAGAAGTAATTTATGTTCTTTGAATACATTAACTTATTAACATTTATTATTAGTTATTTCTATCTTATCTTATGTTTTTCTTTTAGTGCCAGCTCATCAGAAGAAGAGGGAAAACACACTGTTTGATATTCACAGATCTCCAGCAAGAAGAAGCCATATCAGGTAACTTTTATTTTTGAAAATGGGAAATATTTGTACCTTTCAGTGAGAGAATGAGACGCTAATGCCCGTCTTAACTTATTTTTTTTAATGTTTTTTAGTTGTTAACACACCATTTTATTTTTATTTATTTATATGTAGTGCTGAGAATTGAACCCAGTGCCTCACACATGCCAGGCAAGTGCTCTACCACTAGACTAAAACCCCAGCCCTAACTTATCTTTTTTAAGAAGAAATTTTTTAGTTGTAGGTGGACACGATACCTTTCTTTTACTTATTTATTTTTATGTGGTGCTGAGGATCGAACCCAGTGCCTCGCATGTGTTAGGCAGGTGCTCTACCACTGAGCTATATAGCCCCAGTCCCTTAACTTAAGTTTCTGGTTGTTTTTCTTATTTGAGTTATCCTCTGGAGTCATTTCTTAAAATCAGTACAACTTTGCCTCCACCAATCTCCTTATGTGCTGTTATTGACACATTACTACATTTCTCTACATAATAGGCCCAACATATGCACATGTGCGCGCGCGCACACACACACACGCACACACACACAGGCACACAGATACTTTGGAGAATTTCCTGATGAAGAAAAAGAAGTAGAAGAGGGGGCTGGGCTGGGGCTCAGTGGGAGCGCACTTGCCTGGCATGTGTGAGGCACTGGATTTGATTCTCAGCACCACGTATAAATAAATAAAGGTCTATCAACAACTAAAAATTAAAAAAAAAAAAGAAGAAGTAGGAGAGAGGATAAATATCAAAATTGCCAAAAATGAGTAGATTATTGTTGGTAGCTGGTTTTGTGAAGAGTTAGGAAACATTAAAAACTGATGCAAAATGCACTGAAAAGATTTGTGGTAGAGATCTTCTTTAAGGATCTTAAGGAAGTTTGGAGAATCTGGGTTACTGTTGATAATAGTGGGTACTGGAGTGGTGTGCAGTGATTCAGCTTTTCTGATTATGATTGGAGTTCTTTTTAATACATGAATTGGTACAGGGTTGGAATTTACACTTACAATGGAAGAAAAAGGGGCCAGATTCAGTGAGGTTGGAAGAATAACAGTGAAATAATAGGTCTTAAGTTGAGGCTGGACAGTACAAAAACTTATCCAAGAAAAGAAATGATAGATTGTGAGTAAATGGGTGCCTAGGGACAGCAGGCCTTGAGAAAGTTGAAAGAGTTGGTATGTTAGAAACTCATGTTCAAAGAATAGGCCATTACTTTTTAATTTTAAGATCATTTCTTGGGGCTGGGGATGTGGCTCAAGCGGTAGCGCACTCGCCTGGCATGCGTGCGGCCCGGGTTCGATCCTCAGCACTACATACCAACAAAGATGTTGTGTCCACCGAGAACTAAAAAATAAATATTAAAAATTCTCTCTCTCTCAGTCTCTCTCTCTCTCTCTCTCTCCCTCTCTCACTCTATAAAAAAGAAAACAAACGAGCATTTCTTTCCATAATGAGGTGATGTTAGCCTGATAAATTATCTAATTAGTCCATAGCACTTAATAAAGTATTTCTTTTTAAATTAAAAATGTTTTATATATTTTATTATAAGAAATTTAGAAAGGATAGAAGTATCTTTTTTGGGGAGGGGGTGCCAAGGGTGCTCAACCACTGAATCACATCCCCAGCCCTTTTTCTTTCTTCCCTCCCTTTCTTTCTTCCCTCCCTCCCTTCGTGTGTCTGTTTGTTTCTCTTTCTCTCTCTCTCTCTCTCTCTCTCTCTCTCTTTCTTTCTTTCTCTTTCTTCTTTTTTTTTTGTGTGCTGGTTATTGAAACCAGGGCCTTGTGAGCTGTATCCCTAGCCCTTTATTTTCTTATTTTGAGACAGGATCTCACTAAGTTACTTAGGGCCTCGCTAAGTTGCTGAGGATGGCTTTGAACTCAAGATTCTTCTGCTTCAGCCTCCTGAGTTGCTGGGAAAATTGTAGGCTTCTTATTTGGTTTGCTTTATTTTTTTCTCTGTAGCATTACCACCTTTATACCTTGTTAAATGTTAAATGTAGGAGGGCAAAGATCTTTGCTGGGAGAACGAATGAATTTTCTCCTGAACTAATTGTTGATATTATGTGCTTCCAATGTATTCTTTTTTTTTTTTT